AAAAAGTTTTTCTTTTTTTTTTTTTTTTTAAATATGTGTTTGTTCATGAAATTTTATAAGTTTTTGGGAATTTTTTAAAAACTTCAAAACCATTTTTTTACAAAATTTCAGAAAAACTTTTTTACTCACTCACAACACATTTTCAAGCGAAATGCATGTCCAAACATAATTTCAAATTCCGAATATTATTTTTCAACTTAACTCTAAATACTACTTTTTTTCAAAAATTATAATTTTTATGTCCAAACGCTTACTAAATAGAATCGAAACTACGAAAGTCTTTTTATATATAAAGTCTTAAAACTTAGCTTTGCCTTGCTATGTGAAACAATTCCACTTCATATATATTACGCCTTTTGTCCTGTTTTATTATTAGACACGAAATTTAAAAAATTTAAAAAGAAAATCTTTTATATATAACCCAAATTTAGACAAAGTATCAATTTTTTATATTTTTTAAAAATAAATGGTGGGAAAAGTTCTATATGTTCTTTCTTATTTCACTTTTCTTATAAAAGAATGACAATTTATATCAAGCGGATCCCAACAAGTCAGGCCACTATGATAAAATAGAAATACTAAGATTAATTAAGTTTCTACAAGAGAACTACCGTCAAACCTTTTTACAACAGTTTCGTTTGTTCTAGATATTTTTGGATGTTATAACGAATTGATGTTATAGAAAACATATATTATAACAGAACATGAAATTTGATTTCGAAAAAACTTAGCTTTTATAGTGAAGTGTTGTTACGAAGATATTGTTACTTAGAAGTTGAGTGTATATCATTCTTATTTTTTTTTTTAAACAGACTAAAAGGGAAAATATGTCACGTTAAATAAGATCGAATGCTAAAAATTTAACAGCACCTGTAGTATCTCCATAACCCCTTAGGTCAGGTGCCACAGCACGATAGCCACGTTCAGCTAAGTAGAGAATTTGGTGGCGCCATGAATACCAGAGCTCAGGGAAACCATGGATAAAGAGGATTATTGGACCTTGGCCTAATTCTGCTACATGCATTTGTAGGCCATTTACATCTACCATCTTGTGCTCTATCTTCTCCATTTTTTGTTTTTTCTTCTGTGTTTCTGAGTCCGTCTGAGTGACAAATTTGGGTATTTATTTTGACTTAGTATGGGCAAATGCCGGCTAATCCAAGTAACTGTAGAAAAGGTTTGGCTATGATTCCTATGGCTGTTATTGAAGTCATTGTCAATGTCACTACTATTATTACTCCATTATTGATACAATACAAAACAAATGGCCAAACCTGTCCTATAATTTGGCACGTGGTCTTTGGTGTACGAGATAGAGCAACAATAATATTCCAAAGTTTTTGAAAAGGAGAAAGCTTCCAATATTACCTCAGCCTATCTATTTTATATTTTTTCTCTATCTTGCCGTTCATAAAAATATTTATTTGTTATAAAATAAAAACTATAAAGTAAATAATGGCAGAGAAATTTATAGAAATAGTGATATATTATTCAGTTTCAAACTAACGTACAAATAAATTATTTTGACACCCAACTATTTATAGAAGAAAAGAAGTTGTTGCAACGTTTTTCGGAAGCTACTGAAAAGCTTTTCTGGAGCTACTTATAGGTGCATGTATGAGCTACTTGTAAACATATACTTGGACAATTTTAATTATCCAAGATACATATATTTACACCTTTGTAATTGTTTAGGAGAATGCTTCAAATTGTTGCAAAGGACATATACAAAATAATTTGATAGCTTAGAGGTAAACTTAATTCTTTTTTTGTCTATGTGGCTCTACTGTGAGAAATGTCAGAATCAAGCTTGAAACCCATTAGAGGGAAGTCGCAATATGAGATAAATTAATGACGTTCATAAATTTTATACCAAAATAATGAGATAGTTTATTCCATATAGAAGGTGAAATTTCTATCCTAATTATCATTTCTGAAATTTATATTGTGGGATAACCTGGTTTAAAACTTTAAACCAAATGATAGGCTTGTAAGAGCCACCGCTACACCTTTAGTTTCATTTGCATTTATTAGTGGAAGATCTCGCTTTTACTCCTTATATTTCACGTGGAGGTAATGTCACACGTGATCATTGATCATGCCCAACTCTAGTCATAAAAAGGATAAGCGGTCGTTGCAAATATAATCCGGTCTAAAAGTTCGGAGTCGAATCCCACAAAGAACTAAGATTTCGCTATAATTGTTTAGTATCACTAAGAAGACAAGTTCGAACACTTCCTAAGTTATAAATATAAAGATTCTTATGTAAAACTAATTGACTAACAAATTAAGGTAGTGAATTAACAACTAGAGATACTAGGGGTTGAAGAAAGGATTAAGCAGGTCTAGAGTTATGATTTTCTCAATTGTCGGAATCCTTCCCGCTACATCTTCTATAATTTCGCCTAAGTATTCTCTACTGATCGTGAGTACTTTGACTGTCGTAGCTCTCTCTCGAGCAACTACCACAATTTACTAGACGTATTCTCTCGAACTATGCTAGCTGGAACTAATTCACTGCTCACTACGATCGCACCAAGGTTTCGTTATCTCTAATCCCGCCTTTAAGCCCTCCATATTGATCTCTCACATATATTAGGAGTAATGTTGCTCAACAACTACCTAAATGCGTACTCTCTCTCTCTCTCTCTCTCTCTCTCTCTCTCTCTCTCTCGAGCAATATACACACTAAATCGGCACAATCAATTGATGGTCATTCAATCAACAACAATAAACACGTAGTTGAACAAGTAGAGAAATTCAATGGCGCAATTATATAAAAACATCACAAGAATTTATTCTACAAAAGGTTCTATCAAAAAACCCTAGATAACAAATTAGCTATTCATAATAGTATACAAAACTACAATATTAGAATTCATAACCAATAATGAAAATAGAAAGAAGGAAGTGAAAAACTCGTAGAAGAATTCTCCACCTTGCTCCTAGCGTGTTCTTGCCTCCTTGGGTCGAATCCCCTCTCCAAAATCGTCTCTCCTTTAGGTCGAATCTGCTCTAAAAAAAGGTCCTCCCCTTCTTAGACATGTTCATGGAGTATTTATAGGCTAGGATTGAAGTCCTTGAGTCCAAATTTGGGTCGGAGTCTTTTAATTCACGACTTTTAATTACCGGACTATAGATCTCGTGAGGCCAGGCTTATATCGCGATCAGCCTAGCTACAGAGTTGGCTACGCCTAGCCTGTAGCGCGGTCAAGCTGACTATAGAGCTGGTGTTACTTGGTCTGTAGCACGGTAAGGCGGACTATAGAGCTTACTTAGTCTGTAGTATGGTTTGGGTACTTGATGCTTTTGTGCTCTTTTATTGTATTTTTGTCCTCTTTTTGTGCAACTTTCACTCATTTTTGTCTTCCAATACTCCTACACATAAAACAACATAATTTAGCTCAAACGTCGCATAATTAACTACTAAACTAACAATATGTAAGGCGAGTAATATACTAAAAATATAGCATTTTGGCTGCACATCACTACCCCACACTTAAACGTTGCTCGTCCTCGAGTCAACCACCAATTCACACTAACCTTGAGCACTTTATTTTCTTTTAGCACATTCGAAGCACACCATACCTATGACTATGGTTGATAGCAATAATTAAACCTTAGCATATGCCTTCAACACATACTTCCCTTTACTTTATGTCATACTTCAAAAATTTATTCAACACCAAGACAACATGATGATAACAATCCTAGCCTCACAAACTGACTTTATATCATATGCATTCGTGGCTTAAACAATTAACATCATATAGAAATGTAATAACGTCACATATCCCTTGCGAAATCATGTACCCTCACAACAAGAACAAGAGAGTAAGTTGAATCCACACATTCGAATCAAATTCTCAAATATATTTTAAGGACTCAGATAAATCAAAGAAATTTCTCACTCTCACAAAGAAGTTACATGCATGCACAAAGTACCATAGGCTTGCCCATTATGTAAACCTCCACTAATATAGGCTTGCTAAATCTAAAATCAATTAGGACTTTTTCATGATTGTAATGTGGGCTAAAGAACGAGTAGGATAAATTTAAGAATAGTGACTAATCCTCCTAAGCACTTTAACACATCACAAACTTAACTTTAAGCGCATTTTTCTTCAACAAAACTTCACTTTCACAAGCAATATCACACCCAAAAATATTTCTTCTTTCTTTAAGCACTACTTTAACTCATACCCACTAGCAAGAACAAGATATTTTTATTTTCTTTTGCTACATATTTTTTTTTCTTTTCTACCATTCCTGCTAGTGGTGTATTTCTTATAATATAAGTACACCTTTTTTTTTCCATTGGTTCTACTCAAAAGCCACCCAAGTTTCCTCCTTACTTCTTTTAGCACTCATTTTGCAATTAAAGTACTTTAAGAGGGAAAAAGATCAAAACAATGATAATTAAGAACAAAAGAGTATAGGCTTGTAATGTGGTTTCCAAATAAAAGTTTATAGGCTCAAAAGGGTTGACTAGGGATAAGTTTTATTTGTGGTAAGCATTAAGCTCAAACAAATCAAAGAAAACATAATATCATTTTTCAAACCGAGCAAAACCTTTTCACTTCAACTCACATGCCGAGCAAGTTCTAGACTCTAATGCAATGACACAGACTATATAATTTCTCACCACACATGGTACATGACTCACTAAGGACGGTTCCATTCCGATTCTTAAACAATTGCAAGTATTCATGGAGTCATAAAATATTAAGCATCAAGCACAATGTGACACAAGCCAAGAAAACGAGATATAGGCGTCAATAACATGTTATTTACTCAACACGGCATCATAAGCATTTTCAAACCATAGGGAAGGTACTAAACATGCTAGAGCCTAAATATGCTACTATCAAACATGTCAAAAGGGCGCCTAGAAAGTTCATCTTCCTTCTTTTATTCCCTAAATACTATTCTACTCTAAAAATAAAAAGTTATGACCCGGTTCAAATTACATCTCATAAAAAAGAATCGAGGCACAAAGAAAAATCACGAGGGATTATTATTACCTACAAAAATAAAAAAAATATTTTTGGATTTTTTTGTGTGTTTTTGGTTAGACTTTAAACCCTCAAGAAAACTGTCTAATAGATCCATCGTTGGGAAAAGTCCAATCTTTTCTATTTTTCTAAGAAAATATATTATTCAATTAAACTGACACAACTAAAATAGCATAGAAAGTCACCCAAACAATCTTCTCACCCCACACTTAAAATTGTGCATTGTCCTCAGTGCACACTATAACTAACAAGAGGATAAAAGAAACTCCCTGGTAGGCCAAAGGCCGAAGCTTTAGCAGCTCATGGGATACTCAGACTTCTCCAGGCCTGGTCCTTCGTATGGGCACCCCATACTTAGTTCTAACCATCTGGCTGACTGTTGCATCCTTCCAATAACTTTGATTTCCATGCTCCTACAATATATATATAAAAAATGATACTACAAAAATAATACAATAAAAAAATAAAAAAATAAAAAAAGCAATAAAGTTGGGTTGCCTCCCAACAAGCGCCTAATTTAACATCGCGGCACAACGTGAATCACTTTTTGCCTCCACTTTGAACTTGTGAATTGGATCCCAAGTTTTGATTCAAACTTATGATTGTGCTCTTGGGGTGGTAGAACAAATCTAACCAACCCAAGAAAATAATATAATACTCTGCACTTCTTGGACTTTATGTGAGGTGTGTAATCTTGACTATTTGGCAAGAAAAATTCCAGAATGTAGACACCTTGTTCCTCATTCCTTGACTTATCAATTAGCTCGACTGACTCTATTTCCATATCATCATCCAAACACAATGCGAAAAAATACTTAGAATGAGGACCAATGCACTCAAATATATAAACTTCAGGTCTTTTCACATCCTCAACACCAATGACACTAGAGTCAACTAAATTTGTATCATGAAAGTTGGTCGACTCTAGTATTACTTCTTCAATATCGGCATCCTCAAATTCTAGTTGGATAGATTGTTGGTGTTCTACTCTGACCTCCTCCATTGTCACCTGAATTTCAGTATCTAATTCATGCTCTTCTTGGCTACTATCCCGAACATTGACTTGTTGAGCATTAAATGTTTCAACCAATTGACTCACTTGTACCTCCAGGTTGTGAATCATAACATCTTGCCTTTGTATGAGCAATTATTTCTCATTATTTTGTTATACAAGGCATCGTAGCATATCCTTGATCTCTTTCAGGTCATTATCCCTGGGTTCTTTGTTCCTAGTAACATTACAAGAAAAAGTAGAACCATCATAGTAAGGAGTTAGGGGAGGATAAGAAATATCAGTACAACCATGAAAGTGACCATCTTGACTACCACACATATCACACACATTCCGCACATAAGATTGAGTTGGTGCACATAACTCGCTCTCGGAAGTATTTGGATAATTTTGCCACAGGTAGTTTCCTTCACAATATGTATGAGGATCAATGGTAGAATTACCAATACTTAAACTTTCATAATTCCAAGATGCCATGTTTCTAAAATCAACAAGTAAAACAAAAATAAAAAAAATCAAATACCAAAAAAATAAAATAAAATAAAAGTTCAAACTTGAAACTTAGCAATATGTACACCTACAACTACACCATTAGTTCTCCGGCAACGACACCAAAATTTGATCACGCCCAACTCTAATCCTAAGAAAGATAAGCGGTCGTTGCAAATATAATTCGGTCTAAAAGTCCGGAGTCGAATCCCACAGAGAACCAAGGCTTCGCTATAATTGTTAAGTATCACTAAGAAGACAAGTTCGAACAATTCCTAAGTTATAAATATAAAGATTCTTATGTTAAACTAATTAACTAACAAATTAAGGTAGTGAATTAACAACTAGAGATACTAGGGATTGGAGAAAAGATTAAGAAGTCTAGAGATGATTTCCCAATTATCGGAATCCTTCCCGCTACGTCTTCTATAATTTCGCCTAAGTATTCTCTACCGATCGTGAGTACTTTGGCTGTCGTAGCTCTCTCTCGAGAAACTACCACAATTTACTAGACGTATTCTCTCGAACTACGCTAGCTGGCACAAATTCACCGCTCTTTACGATCGCACCAAGGTTTCGTTATCTCTAATCCCGCTTTTAAACCCTCCATATTGATCTCTCATATATATTAGGAGTGATGTTGTTCAACAACTACCTAGATGCGTACTCTCTCTCTCGAGTAATATACACACTAAATAGGCACTGGCAATTGATGACCATTCAATCAACAGTAATAAACACGTAGTTGAACAAGTAGAGAAATCCAACGGCTCAATTATATAAAACCGTCACAAGAATTTATCCTACAAAAGGTTCTATCAAAACCCTAGATAACAAATTAGCTATTCATAATAGTATGCAAAACTCCAATACTAGAATTCATAACCAATAATGAAAATAGGAAGAAGGAAGTGAAAAAATCGTTGAAGAATTTTCCGCCTTGCTCCTAGTGCGTTTTTGCCTCCTTGGGTCGAATCCCCTCTTAAAAAACATCTCTCCTTTAGGTCGAATTTGCTCTAAGAAAACGTCCTCCTCTTCTTAGACATGTTCATGGAGTATTTATAGGGTAGGGTTGAAGTCCTTGAGAGTTCAAATTCAGGTTTGAGTCTTTTAATTCACGACTTTTAATTACCGGGCTATAGACCTTGCGAGGCCAGACTTATAGCGCGGTCAGCCTGGCTAAGACCTGGCTATGCCTGCCCTGTAGCGCGATCAAGCTAACTATAGAGCTGGTGTTACTTTGTCTGTAGCATGGTAAGGCACTTGATGCTTTTGTGCTCTTTTCTTGCATTTTTGTCTTCTTTTTGTGCAACTTTCACTCATCTTTGTCTTCCGATGCTCCTAGACTTAAAATAACATAATTTAGCTCAAACATATCACAATTAACCACTAAACTAACAATATGCAAGGCGAGTAATATACTGAAAATATAGCATTTTGTCCGCACATCAATCATGAATTAAGATAAAGTTGATTCTCGAGATTTGAGTGCATTATTTTAGCAAATACCAGTAGATGAAATTATTGACATTGACACATTTCGAGTTTCAACATTTACTTTAGATAGTTTAATGATAGATTTTTAATTGTATGCTGAGAGTGTTGTCTACTATTTCTAGAGGACAAAAAACTAATCTTTTGAGAAAGTGATGTTGCGTTTCTCCATTCCAAATTGGCTGAAGCAGACCACGTTATAATGAGATTCCTTCAAGAGTGGTGAGCTTGAAAATAACAGTAGTAGACTTGGCCATATTGTGTCTGACCTAATTTAATTGGAAATTGAGAATTTTAATTTGATAGATTTAGTATTGAATTTTTTTATTACCTTCTTAAAATGATGGATTCAAAAGTAATAAGTATTCTCTTTATCCCATTTTATAATATGACACTTTGGATTTCGAGAGTCAAATTTATTATTTTGATTGTGAATTCAGACATATAATCTTTAAGTTTTTTGAAAAATAATTATAGAAAAGGGTATTACATAACAAGGAAGAAAGGGTAGTTTGGTCATTAACTATGTATCTGTTAGTATTAATGAATTAGTTAGAAGTTAGTTAGGATATTAAAAATATTGTTAATTCTGGTATTAGTCCATATAGATTCTATATATATGGGCTTGTACTCTCATCTTTGAATAACATATTATCATCTCCTTCCTCCTCTATCTCTTCTTCTCTCTTCTATCTCTGCAAAGTCTATTGCATTTCTCTGTAATTGCTTAAACAAATTCATGGTATCAAAGCAGTCGAGCAAGAATTCTTAGCTCGGTGTTCGATCTCTGTTCTTCCGCATAATTAATTCTTCATTGTTGTCTTATGCAAGTGTATTCTTTAAATTCTTTGTCATCAATGACGATTGAAGATTTGACACCCCCAGATGCGAGTCAAAATTCACATGCAGCGGGTACAACCCAAGATTTCAATATGAATAAAGCCCCAGAAATCGACTACAATTATCCATTGTTCTTGTCACCAGCAGATGTGAGTGGAATTCGGATTATCTTATTTCAATTGACAGGTATCGAAAACTACTCTATCTGGTATCGTTCTATGAGAGTAGCACCGATAAGTAGAAATTTTGACTGCTTATTAGCACCTTTTAGCTTTTGTTTTAGTCCGAAAGTATTGAATTATGTTCCCAAAACTAATAAAATTGTGCATATTACAAGAATGCTAGAATTTTGGTCTCCCGATATAAAATCCGACTAAGAAAGAAGTGTTCCGAAGCACAAGGCAATAAAGGGCGTAGAAACACAAATGTGTGGTCCGCAGAAGAAATTGCAGACCGCAGAATTCCATCTGCGGCCCCAGACCAAGAAGAAGAATTTAGCAGAACTTTGAGCAATGCACGTTAATTGTGCAACCGCAGATCTGGGCTAAGAGTCAAAAATCAGAGAGTATGCAAAAAGACCATGTTCAGGAGCCTTTGTGAATTGCGGACCACACAAGAATTGTGCGACCGCAGAAGATTGCCTTGCGACTGCAGTCCAGAAATGTGCAGCCGCAAAAGATTGCCTCGCGGCCGCAACTCAGAAATGTGCGTCCGCAGAACTCAACTTCCTGCCAACTGAAAAAATATGCGGACCGCACATGGATTTGTGCAGCCGTAGAACCTCCTGATGGGTACTTTTGTCCGAGATTTTCAACCCTGTATGAATACATGAGTTTTACAAAATTTGGTCAAGTTTGAACATCTGAAGTTGCTGTAGCCATTTTTCTTTACTACTTTAGGAAGTTTTACATTATTTTGATGTATTTACATTAGATTTCATCATTTTAATGTTCCGATATGTGTTTAATTAGCTTATCTTCTTTATTTTCTTCAAAACCCATTATGAGTAGTTAAACTCTTACTAGAGTTGTGACCCAACCCTAGTATATAAACCTTATGGGTATCTAATTTAGTGCTTGTTTATGATTGGGGTTGATTATTTAGCTTAGTTTATGCTTCAATTTTAGAATTAATGGTTACAAATATTGATTCATGCCTATTTGACTTAGTCTATACTTGAGAAAGAGGGACCTAGTCTAGGATAACTTAGCTAACAAAGAATTGGGTCAATTGAGAGATTGATTAACCCAACTAAAGGGTTCAACTTAGAGATAGTAATAACCCGACTTGAGCTCTTATCAACTGTTTTGGTTGATGCCCTTTTGGTCTTGAGAAAGCCAAATTGGACAAAGTCACTCTCTGACCGAGAGGTATTGAGTGGGTAGTGTAGCGTTATGAGCTATAATACATCCAAATCAATAAAACAAGCATTAACGTCTTTGTCCCATTAGGCAAATACCTAGGTTATGGTCACAACCCTAGGCCTTTTACCCAATTGGAAAAACCTTAAAAATATTTATCTCTAGTCTATTTTCTTTATCTTGCGATCATTAGATTAACGGTAGAAATAGGAAACCAAAACCTTGTTGTGAAAGTGCAATCTAGATAACTCATTTGCTTGCTTCAAATATATACTCCTAACTCCCATCATAACTTCCAGTAGATTCGACCCCGACTCATAGTTGGGTAATTATTATTGTATACGATTGTATCATATCTCTTACTGAGGTGTGTTAGGGATGTGATCAAGCACTGCTGGGTAGGAACAAATTGGGGTTGATTAATGGGTTGTGTTCTAAAGATAAATTCCCAGATTGTACTTGGAATCACTGGGAAAGGGTGAATGCTATTGTGCTATCTTGGATTATGAATTCTATTGCCAATGGTCTTATTGGTGGTATTATGTATGCGTTTAGTGCACAAGCTGTGTGGAATGATTTACATGAACGGTTTAACAAGGTAGATGGGTCTAGATCATTCAATTTGCATAAAGAAATTGCTACACTAAGTCAGGAACAACTTCTGTCTCTGTGTACTTCTCAAAACTCAAAGATTTGTGGGAAGAATTTAAAGCTTTAGTTCCAACTCCTGGGTATGACTGTGCAAAGTCTAAGAAATTTGTAGTGCATTTATAGAAACTAAAGTTGTTTCAATTTTTAATGGGGTTGAATGATTCATACAGTCAAGTTAGGAGTCAAATCTTGATGATGAGTCCCACACCAACTGTTAACTAAGCTTATGGTTTAATCATCAGTGATGAAGGCCAAAAATTTGTTGATGCTACCTCAGGACTATTGGGTGCAAATCCAGCCATGTCTACAAATTATTATGATGTGTCTATGTATATCAGAACTGGACATGGAGGAAATCAGAAATTCAAGAAAAACTACAATATCCAATGTGGTTTATGCAAAATGAAAGGACATAATAAAGAAAATTACTATAAAATTGTGGGGTATCCTCCTAAATTCAAGAATATGAAGAAAAGGGGAGTTGAAAATGCAGCCTACAATGTGATGACTGAGAACAATGCACATGTCAGGAATACAAGTTACAATGGGTCAACTGAGGTTAACTCCCAGGCAAATCAATTCCAAGCATCAGAAAATTCAGTTAATCAAGTGCCGATGTATATAAATATAGACACAGGAAAGTTCAATTACAATATGGGACAATGGCCTACTACTCAACTAAATTTACAAGGGTTGCCTCCAATAACAAACTGTACTTTTTCAAGGGAACAGTATGAGCAAATCCTGCAAATATTGAATAAATCTTTAGGTGTTAATGGTTCTAAGACTTGTACAGCTAATGCAACAGGTATTAACATTGCTTGTTTAGCCTCAACTAGTCTACAAGAGTGGATAATCGACACTGGTGCTACCAATCATATGGTAGTTGATTTAAGTCTATTGAACCAAACTTCCATTGTTCAACCCGAATATCCAAAGAGAGTGTTCTTACCTAATGGAGATATAACACATGTAGCTCACACCAGTTCTAGTAATATCACTTATAGAATCACAGTAACAAATGTGTTCTGTATTCCACAGTTCAAGTACAATTTACTATCTATTTCTAAGGTCACCAAAGAACTAAAGTGCTCAGTAGCTTTTTTTCATGATTTTTATATTTTTCAGGATCTCTTCAATAGGCAGGTGAGAGCGATTGGCAATGAAAACAGTGGATTATACGTTCTAAGTGGAAATCTTCAACCAGTTGGATCCAGTGATGAAGTTCTGTTAGCAGCAGAAGAACCACCAATGATCATTGAACTCAAGACCAATAAAGACATAAATGTTAGGATATTAAAAATATTGTTAATTGTGGTATTAGTCCATATATATGGGCTTGTACTCTCACACTTCTTTAACAAGATGAATAACAGATTATCATCTCCTTCCTCCTCTATCTCTTCTTTTCTCTTCTATCTTTGCAAGGTCTGTTGCATTTCTTTGTAATTGCTTAGACAATTTCAATAATTTACATCTTTAGAAACTATATAAAAAGTATTATAAGTGATAATAATTAACAATTTAAAATATTTAAAGGACATACGAACACATTGTGGTCAAGATTTTCTATTTTGACTCTCGAAAAGCAAGAAATATCAAATAAATTGGGACAAAGAAAATAATATTTTTAAAATTTTGATAATCTTTTACTTATATATTTATATTTTGTATAAAAAGTTTGGTTTGGATTGAACCCGTGCCTAACTGGCATGGTTTTCCAATCTAGAAAACGACTTCTCCTTCACTTTCCTAATAATAATTCAAAATTTGGAGCTTGAGTCGACCCCACATGCACGAACGGTCACTAAAACTTTAATATTATGGTGCTATAATGTTATACGTACTCCCAACTACTGTGTCCGAATAATATTAATGTAACCAACTGAGAAATATTATTCCGCCCAACGGATCTCAATATTATTGCTACTGCCATTTGAACGTATACCTTCTGAAGTAGTATTTGTTACTGCGAATGACTGATGTTTGGATCAATTTGCGCATATATTAATGATCTTAGTAAATATTTACTATCTCCTATTTGCTTAAGTACCAAATACCAAATAACTCTTTTTGATAAATTGAAAAAAATCGCCTAACCTTATCTTATGACTAAGGGAATTTAAACCTGATCTATCATGGTTGGTGGTACATTTATTTTATATTGCATCATTGAAAACTCAAAGTTCTAACTTTATAAAATGGAGAGATAAGCATTAAGTTTTATAGTGGGATGAATGAGATATTTCCGCTCTTAACTAGAAATATCGAGTTCGAGAGCTCAAATGGAAAAACCAATGTTAGGAAGAGCTAAATTTTAAGGAACTAGTTTTACTGTACCTGCGTTTCAAGTGTGTACCGCGTCAAATATGTTACATATAGTGTAAATGTTAATATTTTATTATATGAAATATAAGTATGTTGTGTTGTATCTCACTTAACATCTCTTTATAAATAATATTTTTGGTGTTTGTTCCCTTCTATCTCTTTGACTGCTTTGTCATGATTAAATAATTTGTCGTCGACATTTTTTAGATTGACACTGTGATTATATCATTGTAAATCATAAACATATTCAAAATTATTTTGAAAGAACTGATGTATTTTTTAACAAAATTAGAGTCTTATTTGTTTCTTTATAATTGGAAATAGTAGTGACAAATTCGGTCAGAATTTTGATATAGAGCTCTAATTTGTATTTATGTAACAAACAAATTCCAGGAGTTAGTTTTGTGTTGGTTAAAATTATTAACGCTTAGACTTTTAACAATTGAAAGATATATCACTTATTAAGATATCTAAAATTTAATGAGGATGAAATAACTTAAGTATTCGTGCAGATAGGTCATATTAGGACCCATAGCCCTAGCTGCTTTTGTGCAGGTTTTTTTGTTCTTAAGCAAGATTGGACATTTGAATAATAAACTCATGATAACCAACACAAAGCTTCAATTTGTAGCTAAAAGGAAGTCATTCTACTATGCTCTTCACTCATGAAATTCCAATTTTCTTCAGAAATTTAAGCATTGTTGGAAAAATATTGGATTATGGAGAATAGGATTTAGCTTGAGGCGTGTTAAGAACACTGTCCTTAAAGATATTTCGCCCACACCGTGATAAATATTATTAGGCGTATCCCCCAGAATTCAACAAGCTCTTATAATATAACTAGGAAAAGAAACAACAAAGATTAATGAGAAGAAAACAAAGCACAAAACAAAAGGGAAGAAAAGTTTCTAACACTGTTCACCCTTTTCCAACATGAAGACAAAGAGGTATATATAGTCTAAAAGATAAGTAGACTATCTATTTCATATTACAGGCTATTCAAAGAAGTAGACCATCAGAAATAGGGGGTTCAAATCGAACCGGAAAATCGTATCAAATCGAAAAATCAAACCAAATCGATTAAAAAATTCGACTAGGTTTGGTTTGACTTGTTTTAGTATTGAGTAAAAAAAACCCAAACCAAACCGACATATAAATATATAATTTTTATATATATTTTTAAGACTTTATATTGAATTTTCTTTAAAAAAATGTTGAAATATTTGGGATCCTCTCATGTGTTAACCTTGAAATCGTACATTAACGAAAATTATTGTTAGACGACTAAGAAAATAACTATCATGTGTTACTAAAAAAAATTCTCCCATTAGAATATTTTAATAGATCTTATATTTGTCAATTTTTTCAATATTTACTAAACATATATTCACTTATCAAAACTTTATCTATAACTTTAACAAAGTAAAATTGGAATAATATTTATGTAAAAAAAAATCCGAAAACCCGATAAAACCGAACCAATCCAAACCGATATAGTTGGTTTGGTTTGGTTTTGATAAAAACCGAACCAACCCGGTCCATGTACACCCCTAATCAGAAACGTTCAAGCCATAAAGGCTATTCCAAAATACGTTAAATCTTAAGCCATTAAGATTGGTCCATTGACTTT